CAGTGTTAAAGCACCACTGATGTGATGGTGCTGAAAAATCAGCCCCACTCCAGTCCTGAGCTTTCTGTACGGTTTTAACATCAGCCTCAGTGGTTAATGATGTTCTGCAGGGAATACGCGCTCACCGGCGAGGCCGTGCAGTTGGACAGCAGCTGATCAGGAGTGAGCGCGCTCTCGCCGGCCCTCGGCTCCTCCTCCCGCGTCAGCGCGCTCCGCTGGGCCGAGGGACAGATGGCTGCCGGCTGCAGCGCCGCTTCCAGCTCCAGGGAGCCTGAGAGAGAGAGAGAGAGAGAGAGAGAGAGAGAGAAAAGGGGGAGAGTGAAAGAGAGACAGAGAGAGAGAGGGAGAGAGATAGAGAGAAAGACGCCATGATGAGGCAGCTGTACAACATGCATCTCTAATCAAATACAATGACTCTGTGATGCTGTGGCATCAGTAACGGCATTAACGCCACACACACACACACACACACACACGCCACATGCCATTAACGCTGCACATTATAACCTCAACAAACTGCCTAATGATAGTGTGTGTCAGTGACAGAAGGGTCAGTGAAGTACAAAGCTACGTTAATATTCTTCACTGTTCACATTTCGATTCTTCATGTTATATTTGTTATATTTACATTAACGGGTTTTTTGAAAAGCCACGACAGATGCGCCACGACGCCGCTCTACGCACCGGTATGATTCGGACACGACGAGTTCATACATTTTATCACGTTTTAAGTTGTTTCAAGTTGTATCCCACACTCAAACAACGATGATAAAAAAGGCAACTAGTCAGAAACAAGCCTGAAAAAGTATTTCTGAATTAAAATTAGACATACGGGTGAGCAGTATCACGATGTATATATATACAGTCCTCTCCGAAAGTATTGGAACGGCAAGGCCAATTCTTTTGTTTTTGCTCTACACTGAAGACATTTGGGTTTGAGATCAAAAGATGAATATGAGACAATAAATCAGAATTTCAGCTTTCATTTCCTGATATTTACCTCTAGATGTTTTAAACAACATGGCCCCTTTGGTGGCAGACCACCTCCCTGATGCTTTTCATTTAATCTCCACAAAAATAAACTAAACCCCATAAAAATTTTATCACGTTTGAAGTGTATTAGGGCTGGGCGATGTGAAGATAGAGCATCAATATCATGATAAATTATGTTAGGATACGCTTTTCTGAGACATTGTGGATACAATGATATCTTTTTTATACATTTAAAAAAAAAAATTAATTTAATTGTACTACATTTTTAAAATTGTAAAATGTTAAAAAAAAATTTTTAAGATATAAGCACGTTTTTCTAAAAACATAAAGTTTAACTCGCAGTCTGTTCGGAGAGATCCAAACAGAGCTCATCTATGGGGCGTCAAAAGAAAGTAAGCCAATCAGATTACTTGTTGGGCGGGACAAAACCACAGTGTACACACACACACACACACACACACACGCACACACAGTGTACATGTGAAATAGTGGAGCACCGCAACAACTTATTTTACTGCTGAATTATTATTAATTTCTTTTAAATCTTGAAATCTCGAACTGTAGACATCCCTGGTTTGCTACGCTGATGGTGATTCGCTGGCTAAGAGGGAAAAGATGCAAGATGCAAGTCGGCTGCTTGGTCATTTTGTTTAGTAACCGACAGCGTTTGCCTGATTCACTTAATAAATTTTTTATAAACATTACAAAAAAAAGGTGCAAAAATTCAGAATGCCATCACCAAATAATGAAATAAGTATGACCTAGTTTTTACTCAATCCTAAGCCAGGGATCGATCAACTCAAAAACCCAAAACAGATTGCGAGACTCGGCCCGTCACCTGTACGACGCAACGACACGGAAACACGAAACTGGCTTTTAGGAAATTTCTGATGTCCTGAAATTACAAAAGGAGAAAACAATATCCATATATGAATGTTCTTTCAGTCATTAAAGCTAAGACTATCAAAAATTGTTTCTTAAACTCTTCTCCGGAAAAAATTACGCTTGTCTCTTGATGTAGGAAAAGGGAGCAGAATACAAGTGTGCCATTTATTTGGACACATTTTAAAATAATATGTAAAAAAATGAACAATGTGAAAGTTACTTGTTGACGTTGTTCAGATTGTATGCTATGTATTAAGCACATATAGTGAACAGGCAGCCATTTTGTGAAAGGTGTAATATAATGTTTACAGTGAAACACTGCTGCTCATGTTCACTCACACTGTGTCTGTGGCTGAATAATAATAATAATAATAATTAATATGAGTATAATCGTTGAGCCGTGGTGTGTTTATGGTACCCGTGTCTTGCTGAGCCGCAGGCTGTGTGCGTTCAGGAGAAACTCGAGCGGCGTCTCGGTCCTTCTCCGGGGTGCTGTGGCATGAAGAGTCGTTCTTCGAGGGCGTGGGCGAGGCTCTGGTCACCTCTGCCTCGGCGTCTGTAATGACAGGACTCAGACTGATGCCCGAGTCGGCAGAGCTCTGTATCTGCATGCAGGGAGCGTCCAGACTGGCCTCCTCCTCGTCCATGCTGCTGTCCATGCCGGCCGTGGTGGACAGCTCGTCCTGTAAAACGGTGCAAAGCAAGATCTGAGATTCAAACCCATGACTGCTGGAAGGAACACTCTGGCAAATATTCAATCCATCACATCTGTAACGTATGTGTGATTACCAGGGACTTGGATACTGACACATTTTTTCTCTGTACTGAATAAGAAAATTAACATTTTTTTTTTTACTAATCGGATTCCTAGCTGTATCCAGGTTTCGCAGTATCGTGAGGAATTATTATATTACTTTAACGGCGATTAAAAAGAATACCTCTGCTGACCATAACACTTCTGACTGAATCTACATCCAGGTAACACATGCAGTATAGGGTGACCTTAGCGTTTGTGGAGAGCAGACAGTGAGACACAGGGAGAGAGAGAGAGAGAGAGAGAGAGAGAGAGGGAGAGGGAGAGAGAGCAAGAGAGAGAGAGAGAGAGAGAGTGAGAGAGCGAGAGGGAGAGAGAGAGCGAGAGAGAGCGAGAGAGAGGGAGAGAGAGAGAGGGAGAGAGAGCGAGAGAGAGAGAGGGAGGGAGAGAGCGAGAGAGAGCGAGAGAGAGAGAGCGAGAGAGAGGGAGAGAGAGGGAGAGAGAGCGAGAGAGAAAGAGAGAGCGAGAGAGAGAGAGAAAGCTGTAAAAATAAAAGATGCATTGAAACGGGTCGACTCTGCCACAGCGTGGGCTATGTACATCTATTGATGCAACAAGAGCAGGACGTAATTAATGGCTTTTAACAGTCATGTCTAACCGCATCCCACAAACTGAAACATCACACACACACACACACACAGAAAACTACGGCGCTACATAAGTGGATTAGTGCACACTATACTTCCTATTATTCCTACTGAACAATTTAACATACTTAATTTAATACTTACTTCAATACTTAATATCTACAAAAATATTGAAAAAATTTTTATATTTAAAAAAATAAATAAATAAAATGCTTTAATACAGCAAGGAAAAATAAAATGTTTAAATCTGTAAATAACAAGTTATAATGTAAAAGAATTTTATTTAAATTAACATAATTGTTCATTTAAACTACTTAAATTTATTAAATTCTTAATGTAAGAATATAAAATATTAATTTAAGAATATAGTAATTTAAAACCTTTTATAATTTAAATATTAAGTACGACATTTTAGCATCACATCAGCTGCTTCCAGTCAGTCCGTAGTTCTTTCAAAAAGAACATAAATAATAAATTACAATGTAAAAAATGTATTAATTTAATTAAACTCTTAAATTAAATTCTTAAATGATTCATTTTAAATATTAAACGATTTTAAGAACGATTAAGTACAAAATCGCATCAGCTGCTTCCAGTCAGTTTGTAATTATTTAAAAAGAACATAAACGATAATATCGAATTTAATCAATGTTTTAAAATGATTAAAAATGAGTATTTTTTATTTAAATTATTTGAAAGTGTGTCGCGGTATCTGTGATTTCTCCAAAAAAAAAAGTGTATTGTGACGTCACTGATCACGGTATCGATATTATAACGTCATATCGCCCCGCCCCCTTCCTGCACTTCTCCTCTAAGCCGCTTGGTCCTGGCGAACAATTTCTGCACAATGGGAGAGAAAAGTACAACAGTTCTGCAGTTTGTGTGAACAGATGCACAGGATCAGGCTTTATATCGCTGGTGCATGTGGATGATTACATTTTCGCGGTTTCAGTACTTTGCCCGGATCGACGTGTCTCCAGGTTGCCAGATTGAGCCTTTTCCTCTTGAACTTGGTGTTTTAGTAATCATATTACTAACCGTATCACTGCATGAAAAGTGACAGGTGTGTAACAGTTGTGTATTGGATGTGTTGTCTTCTTTATAATCTGTTAGCTTACAGTCAGGATTTGGAGCTTATTGATATTGTTTTTTTTTAAAAGCTGTGGGATGAAAACACTGAAAATCTGGCAACCCTGGGCGTGTGTGCGTGTCCTCGTTCTTGTAAACCAGCTGTAGCTTGCCAGGTTGCCAGATTGCTCTCATAAACTCCTCACACGATTCAACCCTCAACCGTAAAAGCAGTGGTGTCAAACTCACAACACGCAGACTGAACACCTACAAAACTATGGTTTTACTGTACAGTGTCCTGCATAAGTTTTCACCCCTTGAACATTTCCACATTTTGTAGTGTTACACCCTGGAACTGAAATGGATTTACTTGGGATTATATGTCAAATGTTAGTGAAGTGAAGTGAAGTGAAGTGAAGTGACTTGTGGCCAAGTATGGTGACCCATACTCGGCTCTGCATTTAACCCATCCAAGTGCACACACACAGTAGTGAACACACACACACACACACCGGGAGCAGTGGGCAGCCTTTTTTGCTGCGGTGCCCGGGGAGCAGTTGGGGGTTCGGTGCCTTGCTCAAGGGTCTCACCTCAGTTGTGGTATTGAGGGTGGAAGAGAGCGCTGGTCATTCACTCCCCCCACCTACAATCCCTGCCGGACCTGAGACTCGAACCCAGAACCTTCAGGTTGCAAGTCCAAGACTCTATCCATTAGGGCACGACTGCCCTATGTTTACCAATGATGCAACCGAATACAAACAGGAGGTGCAGTATTGTTTCCAGAAAGGTTCACAAGGTCATGTTTGAGTGTAGAGGTGTGCATCAGGACCGGGGTTGTCATGAGACACCACAAAAACCAGTGGGAGGATTTTCCTTTCATGCAGGTATGAGCGAATGGTTAGATATGAAGCTTGCTGGACGAACAAAGACCATGTTCCTTAACATTAAACCTGAACAGTCCTTAGTACCTGCCTGATCAGGGTCTAGTCTGAACAGTCAGGAACCACAAAATCTGCAAAAACATGCTACAGCAGCGGAGAGCATAAAGGTGAACATGTAGAGCACGTGTTGTAAATAATAAACACAACATTAAGTATACGTATTTTTACTTTCATCGGTTCCTGAGTTCTCAGACAGTCTGTATTTTGGAAAATAGAACAAATTAAACTTGTTAGAAAATATCGCAGGTAGTTACAAACAAAAATAGTAACGGTGTGAGCAGGATTACAATAACAGTGCCGGTGTTTCCCGGGTTAGGCCACGCCCACTGAGGTCGTGATTGTGACATGGTGTGTGTTCAGGTGGGTTTGTTTAGGAAAGACAGACGGCATGAGAAAACTTTTGTTTTTATTTTTTATCAATAATAAGACTTTTTTTTTTAATTATTATTTTGCCTTACTGGAAGACAAGGAAAGTACACTAAATGGAACTGCAGTAAATATTTAACACGCAAACGTACCCTTAAATTTTACCATCTGCTGTAGGTGCCACACTCACTGCTTTTTACTGACACGCCCCCAACTTGGAAATTTGGTTCTCATGGACAAATACGAGTTCCTGAGTTGTAATTATGACACTGGCCCTATTCAGGTTGGATTGGTTTATCAGGAGGCCATCTGTGTTTAATTTTTTTTTTTTTTTGCACATCTCCTCAGTGATAAAACTCTCACATCTGGACAGCAATAAAAAGACCACATTAGAAGTGAGTTTCTAGCGGGTTGCATTTTGTACGAACTTGGATGCTTGCGTCACATGATCACATGATCATGCTGCATTCACAACATAGCGTCCAAGCGGTCAAAGAGCACTGGAGTAGAGAAGAGAAGCTGGCTCTTATTTCAACCAAGGTTCCAGCAGCAATTTGAACACACAATTCATAATCACAAAATTTATGGTCATGTGACTCTTCCAAAGCATCCATTTTTCATTTAGCGATTCAGCTACGAGCTACATCTGTCAATTCAGTGCGCTACGAGACTAAATACAACGAGGAACAGCAGTCCAACATCTTTTTTTCCAACGTGAGATGACGTCTGCATAGAAATCACAGATATGTGTATCTAAACAGGGCTAAAATGATTACACAATGCTGAGTCTGGTGAAAAACTGTAAGTAATTCGGCCTGTAATTTTCTCAGAGGAGGACTGAGAACGCCAACATGGCCGATCTGGACAGAAATAAAATCCCAGAGTAGCACCTGTAACATAGAAAATTATCTCAAAACCAAATGTAAAATTTAATCCCATCCAAATAGGGCTTTTGAGGTGGCGTTCAAGTGCGCTCACCTCGTAATTACGATATTTCTGACAGGATTTGGGGGCAGTATTAAATTCGAATAAAGGTACAGATATGTGGAGCACTGAACACACACACACACACACAGTGTCACTGCAATACGCCGCTAACGTTTACTTTATTAGCACATTTTATCAGTAGCTGAGTTTATGGCTCTGAGTTTATGGCTCTATTTCCAAGTAACACACTGTTTCACCCCCAAACTTTCAATTTATTTACGGTTTACGAGATGATTTTAATCTAGAACACGGATTATAAATTCATTTGGGCCGGATCAGAACCTGTATCGGGTCGGTTCCTGCTTGGACGCCACTGGTTTTAGGAAGAAAAAAAAAAAAAAAAAAAAAAAGCTCAGTAGCATAACATGGTGGTTGAAAATGTTCAATCTGGCAACATGGCGGACGAGAGGAAAGCGCGCGACGTAGCCCGCGCTCAGCGCGCCGAACTCTGTGTGGAAGCCCCGCCCACAACCGCGCTCTGAGGCGCGCGCCACTGGGAGTGAAGAGAAAAACACACACTCACACACACACACAAACACACACACACTCACACACAGAGCGCTCGAACGTGGCCACAGAAAAAAAATGGAGTGTTTAAAGCCAGAGTAAAATGATTAACGCAGTTTCTGTAGCCACGCCCCCTTTTTTTTCTTCTTCTACCGACTGTGGAATAGTTTAATCATCGAGTCACGAGGTTTTTTTTTAATTACTGTTTTTAAATGTCTGATTAAAAGACACTAATAACTCTCTCTCTCTCGAGTTCCTCTGAACCGCAAAACAATCCACTTTTTTTTAACGGCTTTCTTTAAACACCGACACCAGCACGACGGCACGCGCTTCTCGTTGCTCGTGCTGCTCGCATTGGCGTTTAAAAGAGCGACCTTTCTAGTTCACGCATCTCCCACACACACACACACACACACACACGTACAGCGCGCACACACACACACACACACAGCGCACGCGCCCCCTCGCATCAGTCAAAATCCTAACCGACTTTTTTTTTCTTCTTCTTCTTTTTAACGGAAAATGTTTCAAATTCAAACTCAAATTCCATTTTTTAAAAAATTCCGTTGAACGAAGAAAAAAAAAAAACCCAGAACAGAACAGAAACAGCTTCAGTTGGTGGTAGCTAGCGAGGTTAGCCACCGCCGCTCCCCGTCTGCGGCAGTGTGTGTGTGAGTGTGTGTGAGTGTGTGTGTGTGTGTGTGAGTGAGTGTGTGGTGCACTTGCTTTTTCGCGACGTCGCTCATTTCCACACGAAGCGAACTTGTTTCAGGTGTGTTCTCGCTGTGAGGTTTATTTACTTTAGAGACGCTTTTAACCGGAACTCAGCGCTGTGAGAGAAATGAAATGAAGCCTCCGGCACACGGAGCTGCTCCTCTCTGACACTGTGGAGTGTGTGTGTGTGTGTGTGTGTGTTTGGGACTCACTTCCATGTCCTCCACCGGGTCGTCCCCGGCGGGACCCTGCGCGCTGTCGCTGTGGTTCAGCTCTGCGGGTGAAGCTCGCTTGTTGTTGGAGGAGGAAGAAGAAGAGGAGGAGGAGGACTTCTTGCCGGCCGCCTGCTCGCTCCTCCGCCTGCCGCGCTGCACTTTGGCCGCGTTGCGGTACGACACCGAGCCCTTGTAGTTCACTTTGAGCACCGCGTGCTCCTGGATGAGTCTCTCCAGCTCCAGGCGCGTCCGCTCCGGCTCCGATCCGTGTCGCCTCCGGACCATCCGGCAGATCCGCTCCAGGTCCGGTCGCGCTTTTCTCGACCTCAGCGAGTCTATGGTGTCCAGAATCCACTCGCGGTACCTCGGCTCCGACATGATCCACCCGAGAACAAAAAGTTTAATTTGTTTTTTTTTTGTACGCGCGCGCGTGCGTGGTCTTGTTTTGTTTTTTGTTTTTGTTTGCTTATTTATTTATTTTTTTAAAAATTGTTCCACAGCCAGCGCGTCGACGACCTGATTATTTAATCCTGCAGAAAGCACACACGCGCACAGACCGAGTGTGTGTGTGTCTGTGTGTGTGTGTGTGTGTGTTGGAGAAGAACGGAAACATTAGCTACGGCTACTGTACGCGTGCGTTGGCTCGCATCGTGCGCTTAAGGTGGAACGGAAGAGATGGCGCGCGCGCGCCACAAAGACACTTCGTTTAAGGTGGAAATGCGGATGTGCGACGTTGGAGCGAACACAGCAACGATTCTTCTGAATATTTTAGCATCACAGTCTCCCAGTATTGTTGCACAGTCATTGTTTTACACGTATTTATTCGCCCAGTACGCAGATAAGGGTTAATCTTGGATTTTAACTTTAATATGTTATTATATACTACATGTGTATCACAGCCATTTTGTGTTTCCAACTAAATCTGAAGCACACAGTTGTATAGAATGTCTTTGTGTGCTGTAGCATTACAATTTCCCTTCACTGGAACTCAAACCTGTTCCAGCATGACAATGCCCCTGTGCACAAAGCGAGCTCCATGAAGACATGGTGTGTGAAGGTTGGAGTAGAAGAACTCGAGTGTCCTGCACAGAGCCCTGACCTCAACCCCACTGAACACCTTTGGGATGAACTGGAACACCAACTTCATACCTATCCTCCTCGCTCGACATCAGTACCTGACCTCACTAATGCTCTTGTAGCTGAATGAACACAAATCCCCACAGCCACGCTCCAACATCTAGTGGAAAGACTTCGCAGAAGAGTGGAGCTTATTATAACAGCAAAGAGAGGAATAAATCTGGAATGAGATGCTCAACAAGCACGTATGGGTGTGATGGATGTCTTGAACTATAACGTGAACACACCGCCTTTCAAACATAATAAAAATCTAATCACGTTAGATTTACCTCTAAATGACGCTATGGCTAAATTTAGCAAGTTCAGGTGTGATGGTTTTCTTTTTTATCAGGTTAGACACACGGCAAGTACACCAGCTAGCTAGCTATTTACCAAAGCGACAATTTTTTTTTTTTTTTTGGGAACTGCTTAGGTTATTTAAAGAAACTCCACCCGGAACTATTTACATATTAATCTTTAGAATTAACATGTGATCTTAAACTGCATCCAAAATTTATTTTGTAATAAAATTCCAAGTTGGGTTTTTAGTTTTAAACTCCTTTTCACTTTGGTTAAGTTTCCTACGTTACCCACACTGCCGTTCGACTAGAGCACGATGCAGCGGTGCTTTAATCCTTCAGTCTGTCCAGTTCTCTCACCTCTGTACACATCTGTACACTCTGCTCAAACAGATCAGCTTCCAAAGAGCCAAATTTCATGCATGCCGTCATACCGCCGTCAACACCATCGCACTGGTCGTCTCGTAGATCGCTAACTGGCCATGTCGAGCCTCTGCTGTAACTCAGCTGCAATGCATTCTGGGACTTTGAATCCAGTGTTTGCTCTAACGTCTCAACACTACTTCTACACTGGATTTCTC